GATAAACAAAATGTGACATATACATAGAATGGAATATGTAAATAAGATGTCATGGTTTAGATAGTGGGTGTCCCCTAAAAGCTCATGTTGTGACTTGGGGTAGTCAAAGTCAGAGACAGAAATAGGGGTTGCCAGTGGGGAAAGAGGACAGGAATTACTTAATGAGCCCAGAGTTTCAATTTGGGGGGATGGATAGTGGTGAGAGTTGCACATAATATGAATGCCCTTAACGCCACTGAACAAGATACTTTAAATGCTTATATTTGTAAATTTTATGTTTTACCACAAAAAAGTAACTCAGCCATAAATATCTCCATATTTCCCTTTTTAAAAGGTAATATGATAAATAATTTATAGCTGCTAAATCCAAAGGCAGGGCCATTTATATTTTCCTCTCCCATGCAGTCTTCCCCTTTCCATTTTGAGAAGGAAAATCAACAATTATCAGTTGATTTTAGTAGATTTTGTCAACCATGGAAACTTTAGTTAAACTCATAGAAGCAGAGAGTGGAATGTCGCTATTTCAGGAGTTGAAGATGGGAATGGGGTGAAAGTGAAACAGAAAGATGTTGGTCAAAGGGTCCAAAATTTCAAGAAGGAGGGGTAAATTTGGCAGGTCTAATGTATATCTGGGTAACTATGGTTAATACTATATTGCATTCTTGAAATTTGCTAAGATGGTAGATCTTAAATGTTCTCACTACAAAAAAAAGGTAATATGTGAAATGATGGATATGCTAACTAATTTGATTATGGTAATCACTTTATAATGTATACCTATATCAAAACATCAACTTGTACACAAATATGTGCAATTTTTAAATATCTACTTTTTAGTTGTAGTTAGACACAATACTCTTATTTTACTTATTTATTTTTATGTGGTACTGAGGATCAAACCCAGGGTCTCACCCATTCGAGGTGAGTGGTCTACCACTGAGCCACAACCCCAGCCCAATACGTGGAATTTTTATTTGTTCATTATACCTCAGTAAAGCTGAGAAGAGTAGGAAGCTCTGTCTCTGATCTAATGCTCCTTCCCCCCAGCCCTTGTTTTACAGAGCTAGGAATCAAATCCAAGGCCTCACATATGCTAGGCAAGCTCATTATCACTGAGCTACATCCTCAGCCCTAGCCTCTGATACTTTTTTAAACAAAGGAGGTTTTTATTTGCCTGAGCAAAGGGTTAAGTAAGCCACTGAACTCTTGTCCTTAGCATCCAGGCCTCTCTTCTGTCTTCACCTGCCAGGAAGGTACAGGCTCCTTCAAGCGGGAAGGCATGCAATTTAAAATCAGAGTACCTAACTGTATTTAGTAATTTCCAATCATTTTCAAATCACTTCCTCTTCATCAACCATCTCGGCAGTTGAATCTAAACATGAAAAAATTCCCAGAGAAGATGAACTCATTAGAAGCTCTATATCCCAGTTATATTTGCTCCTGGCTGCTATGCTTCTCAGATAGAAACTGTTGCTTGGAAATGGGGATGAGACTCTATAGGCCTCTGATGTAGGCTGAAAATCAGGACCTTCTTAAGAGAGGGTCAGAATCAGCCTGGGCATCTCAATGGCTACCCTTGAAGAGAGTCATGGCTGTTGGGGGCCTTAGGGAGGTTTTCTCAGATACATTCTGTTTCATGATTTGAGTGCTGGTTACATCAGTGTATTCTGTTCTCCAAGCTGTACATTTGTGACTTGGGAAAAAAAAAATTGATGTGGGGGAGGAATATGTGACCACAGATGAATATGTGACCAAAACTTGAATTAACCCCCTAAGGATAGAAATTCAGTTTTACTCATCAGTGTCTTTCCAGTACTTAGAATAGGAAGCCATACACTCAGTAAATATTTATGAATGAATGAATCTCTCTAAACAAAAGATTCTTGTGGAGTTCTACTAAATAGTTCCTTTCCATATACACAACATAATACCCACATAAGAAAATTTTTAAAAAAAACTATACCTGCACAAAATCATCATTTGAAGTGATTCTTAAGGAAATTTTTTACAGCCCAGGTGTACACATCCTCAACTTCCTTTCACATACACTTCTGAAGTGCTCACTCCAGCCACAGGAGGTAGCATTTCCAAAGATGACTTGCTTTTCATTTACTGTCACTGATGCAGCAACAATGATGTTATATAAGGGTACAGGCATTCAATCCAAGTACCACATCACTACCTGCGTTACAAGGCTAGGCAACTTCTCTCCATCCCACTGCACTCCTTTTGAAAGGGTTAGGTGAAATTTTGCATGAGTTTAATTATAGCTCTATAATTCCAGGAATGTGAAATGTTTAGTAACTTTCCTGTCATAAAGCAGAAAGAAGGTTGAAAGATGATCATGAATCAGAAAGATTATGAATACAAAATGAGTCCATTTTTTTCAATTGATTGGTTAATTATAATAATTCTGAAAACTATAGCTGATTTCACTTTCATTCACATTCTTCTTTTCTACTAGTTAACATGAAACATCTTTACAAATGTGCCAAACACTGTCATATATTTAGGGTATACAATGCTTGTCTATACTGCAGTCCTATTCAAATTCAACTTCCAATTTGAAGACCAACTCTTCTGCAGTCAAAACAGTCTTCAAAGGACATTCTGGATGTGATCCCTGAAAAAGAAACATTTGCAAACAGAAAGGTTTGTCTTTAAAAAAAATTTTTTTTCTTAAAAATTGTGGCTGGGGATGTGGCTCAAGTGGTAGCGTGCTCGCCTGGCATGTGTGAGGCACTGGATTCGATCCTCAGCACCACATAAAAATAAAATAAAGATATTGTGTCCACCTAAAACTAAAAAAATATATATATTTTTTAAAATTGTGATGTGCCAGGATCATCTCTTTTTAAAAAAAAAAATAATTGTGATGTGCCAGGAACATCTCTGATTTAAGAACACTTTAATGACTGTGATGGATTGGATTGTGTGTTAACACTCACGTATGTAAAAGCAAATAGGAATAAAATAACATGTAATGGACTTAAGGGCAATACAGAGTAATAAAAGATTATTCACGGTCCTCTGAATTACAATATTACCTACTATGGTGGAGAGGTTAGAATCAAATGGGCTTGTAATGTACTTTTATTATCATTGGATTTAGGCTTCACCTAATTTAATAATAAGCCCCCCAAAGGCCACATTTTCAGTCTTGGATAGTAAAGCACTGGGGCAAAAAGTTAACATTAGCCTTGGGAAAGTTACTTGACCAATCCGAATCTCTGTCTCCTAATCTTTAAACGCGGTTGTTGTGGGTAATTAAATGAGATGATGATATGTATAACATGCACAGCACCCAGCACACCTGAAGCTCTCAAAAAAAAAAAAAACACCACGTTGACTTCTTAAGAGTTAAGTAGAATGTATTAATTATGTAAATCCATTGCAGCACTTTTGGAAGGTCTCATTCACTTCCGAGCTATTATCACAATATTTCAGTAGCGGTCCAGACCTGTCGGTTTGTGTTTAGTAGCTACTCTGTTCCTTCTCAGGACAATCCCAGGGGGTAACTCCTGGTGCGGAATCAATGCCTCTTGCCCCATTATACTCGGTTCGCTCACGTCCTGCAGGAGCCTTCCATGAGGAAGGGCCTAGCCCCTTGGATCCGCACTTCTAAGCATTAAACTTACTTACGGGGCAGGGAAATGAAAAGAACGCTTCCCTCTCAGGACATCTCGGTGCCTGGCTACAGCTCAGTGCTAGAGCTACTGGCACAAAAAGCCAGGAAAGAAACAGGGTAGGCAAGAGACGCCACCGCTTGGCGACCTCACTCGGTGCCCGCCGCTGTGCAGGGGGCGATGGTCAGCATGAGGGTGTAGGAGACACAGAATTGACTGCTAGCCGGCCGACTGGGCCCCGGAACTCTCCAGCGGCGCTTGCTACTGGTCCAACACCTCTCTTAGAGAGAGGACGGCTCCCTGGCTCACCCTATGGAGACATCTCGGTCCCTCCCCAGTGCTCCAGTGGATGCCGGCCTCGTGTAGCTGAGCTGACAAACTGCCTGAGGATGCCGAGGCGCCCACCCGCATGGCGTGGAGGGGCCCCGGGGAGGCGCCCGGCACAGATGGCGCTCGCAGCTAGATAGATGGATGCTCCAGCGCCGATAATCACTCCTGGTTCATCAACACAGCATCCCCGGACGAAGCGGTTGCCAGATTCCCACCTCTGGGAGCCCGGGTAGGGAAAAGGATCTTTTCAGTCAGTCCCAAGCCAGGGGGTCAGTCCGGACAAGTCCCAGTCCTCAGAGGCTGGGTGAGGTGCTAGGACTCCCCCGGCCCACACCTGTAGGCCAACAAAGCCCTCCGCAAGTGCCCCCAACCGGTTGTGCTCAGTGTCTCCCCGGTCCTCACCCTACCCAACATTCCCTGAGTCCTCTCCAGGGCAGTGATAGTGGAGGGAAATCCACATCACCTCATGAACTCAGCGATCCGAGCAGGTGTGAGCACATCTGAACAAAGCCCACGCCCAGATGTGTCCGTGGGGACCGGAACGCGCACACTCCCGTGCAAGCCCGACCCAGCCCCGGTGCTCTTCATCCCACCACTGTAGCGTGACAACCTGCGCCCTCACAGTCGGTGCCCAGGAAGCCACTATGCCGGCCCCAGCAGCCTCTCTATGACCAACTGCCCACAAGGAGACCTCCAGGCAGGGTTTCCCGGAAAGCTGGGGCACCGGCGCGGATACAGAAGTTGGCCACAGCCTTCAGGAGGTGATAGGTGCCCGCCTGTGCCAACGGGCTGTGCCCTTACCCGGGTGCCCGTCTCTCTCCTCGGTTAGGTGCCCGCCACTGTGTCGAAGGCCTGTGTGGAAGAAGGGAGTTGGCAACCCCATTCACCCCTTGCAGCAGAAGCTGCCCGATAGGAGAGCGCTCGGCTGAACCCGGGCTGGTGTCCCACTGACAACGCAGCAGGCTCCCGCGCCCTACTCGGCTCCAGCCTGGATCTTGGAGCAGAACCGAGTGTCAATTGCTAGACGCACACGGATCTACTCACGTTCTCGCGTGGCGCCCACCGCTCAGTCCAGGCACAACCGCCCAGGACCCTGAAGCGCAGATGTCGTTGGTGTTTGATGAAGCGGTCTCCTCCAGCTGCCCCAGCTAGGCCACCCGGGAGCTGTCCCCAGCGCCCGCGCGTCTGAGGCTCGCACTGCGGCGCGCGTCCGCCACCGACCCGAGCAAAGCAAGGCTAGCTTAAGCCGGCGCGCGTCCCCGCCGCTACCGCCCTCCGCTCCCCCTTCACTGCGTTGTGCTGTAGCCTCTCCCGGCCCTCCTTCGCGTCCTCGCGTCCCTCCTCCCCCGCACTCTCCCCGGCCTCCCCCGCCCCTTCCCCTTCTGGCCAACCCCCTCCGGTCCTTCTGCTGCGGCGGCAGCGAATGGGCTCTAGCCGCCTGCGCCTCTGGGGACTGGGTGGCCCCTCACCTGAGCGACCGCGCCACCACCAACCTCTGTCATCCTGCGAGAGTGTGTGGTGGTGGTGGTTGGAGTGGGAGGGACCGAGGGCGGGAGTGTTCCGGGGACTCGGGTGACGGATTTGGCTCCAAAAGATGTTCCATAAAATGGGTGGTTTTTAAATGCCACTCTCATAGGGCTAGGTTTCTGTAGGAGGTTTGCAGTCCCCGCACCCGCGCCACCGCCTACCTTTCCTTCTTTTTTTCCCCTTTTTCTTTTGAAGGGATAGTTGAGATTGGTTGGGTGTCGTTTTTGTTTGTTTTGTTTTTACAACTGTTCCTTCAAATACCCTTCAGAGACAATACATTTCTCCTAAAGCAAATACTGCCTCAGTAATAGAATGGGCCCATCGTTTGGGAGTGTTTTGGAGTTTATTTATTGCAATGTAAAACGAGATTTTCTAGATGTATAGTACTTAAGGAAATATTGCAAGCTGCACAGTTCAGGTTCCATAACCCACCCTCTGCAGCATCCAACATGATGTCCAAGGTTCTTAGCCTAATACTACTGTCCTCTGTAATTTACTCCATTCTAAAACCAAATTACTGGTCTACAGGATATGGGGGACTTGATCACTGACTGCGAACTCCAACTCTCACTTGACTCTGCTGGAATCTTGCTTCTTAGTTCCATATTTTAATTCAAGAAAATATTTTTGGAACCCTTCATCCCCCCCATCTCCACCCAAAACAGGTGCCATGGTGAGATTGGAAATGAAAAAGGACAGGGTGGTCCTTCAAGACCTTGACAACTCTGCCCTGCTCTTAACTTTAATTTGAACTTATCACTTTAACCCACAGTATTCCACATGCAAATGAGAGCTCTCTTTTCTTTCTCCTGATGCCAGCCACACCTGAACCTCTTTTAGTTCCTGAAACAGCACTGTGATTTCTGGTTACTGGGCTTAGCTCAAGTAACTTCCTCAGTCCCCTCTTATAACACTACCCTTTACCCCACCACCATTCACTAGGGAACCTCATATCTCTCAGTTAATTGTCCACAGGTCCTCCTAAAATATCTTTCCAAAAAAAGAAAGAAGTGATTGCATCATACCCTTACTTAAACATCTGGGCTGGTTCTCTGTTATTTATGGTACAAAGTCCAAATCTCCTGGTGTGCTTAACTGGCTGCCCCTAAATTACCTTTTTATCCTTCAGCAAAGCAAATTTTCATAACCATAAGCCTCTACATATGAGAGTTCTTCTTCCTACAACATCCTTCCACTTCTTTCTTCATCCTCCAGGGCCTCAAATCAGTGGTTACCTCCTTTAATAATTCTTTCCTGAGTCCCTGTTTTATTATAATACTGTTTGTCACATTCTAATGATCTGTTTGTGTGGCTCCAAAAAAATTTCTCTTTTTTTATATATTTTTTGTGACCTGATTTCCCACCAATGCAAATGAATCCAAAAACAGCTGTAATAACTCATTTTGCACTGCTTCATCATGCCTACTTGTTTAAAGGACTTCAGATCCCTATATCCCCTCCCATTTACAGTAATTGCAGAGTCCTGGTTTTTCTGCGGGGTCTGTCCTTATCGTGTCCTTTTACTCCTACACTGGTACACTCAGGCTGTCCTTTCACCTCAGCCACTGATTGAACACTCAAGACTGTTCAACCACCTCGGTAATTTCCTGACCATATTCTTTTCCTTGAATCCTACAGGGCAAACCTGGAGGTAGGAAAATTATACCTTCCTCTGTTTGATTCTTTTTCTGATTCTGTGTAGCAGTTTGTCCCCTGTGCACTGAAGCAACATTGCTTATATCCCCCTATGTTACAATTTTGTAAAGACTTTGCTTTATAAAACAACTCCTTTAACTTCTACTTAGAATTGCTCTTTCTCTTTAGGTCCCAGCCCTGGTTCATGAAGCCAGGATGGGACAAACAGAATGAGGTCCTGGTGAGGTCCAGATCAGTCCTGAAGCCTTGGAGACCACTTAGAACACAGAGACACTCAGGGACCATTGAAGAAATGAGTATATGAATGAATCTCTAGCAAGTGACAGATTTTCTAGGCACAGCTTTCCTCAACTCTACAGTTATAATAATAATAATAATACAGGACTATTATGAGGATCTATTTAAAGCACAGGACAGTATCTAGGACATAATAAGTGCTCAACAAATTCTAGCTTGAACAGCAATTGTTTGATATGCTATTTGTCAGATAAATAAACATTTGAATTTTTTGCAAAGCCAGAAGAGGAAATTTCATTGGCAGCATGGAATAAAAATTAAAATTAAATAATTTTGATACTGTATAATAATTGTAATAATATAAAATTTTTCTGCAGTTTTAATTTCCAGTTTATTGTTTCAACTGCACTGCAGTCCTACATTGCCAGGGATTAGTCTCCTGAGAGGATGAGCAACAGGGAGAACCAAACAGCTGCTGCATGAGGAACAGAAATGAAAAGCTCATGGGAGGAGGGGACAGAAGAGTGATCTGAAAAAGGATTAGAAGGATGCCTGAGTGAGGAAAAGGACTTTCTAATGTAGTCTATTTGATTTCATTGTTGATGCGCGAGGCATTCTGATTTGTTTGCACATTGCCTGTGATATGCACAACTTACCTCTTTATCTTACCTGCTTCCATTCCCCACCCCCTCTTAAGCCTTATCCTTTCCCTCTATCCCTTACTCCAAGCTTCACTCCATCTGTGAACCCAGATGAAGTCTATTGTCCTCATCATTTGATAAAAATACTTTTGCGTGAGCCTGGGGCTGTTGTAAGCACTTTGAATTTATTAACTCATTTAGTCGGACAGCAATTCCATATAGTATGTTCTACTGTCATCTCCCTTTTATAAAATGAGGCAAAGAGGTTAAGTAACTTACAGAGATTATGCAGCTAGTATGAACAAGAGTCCACAGTCTTAACCACAGTGCCATGCCTTCTTGTCAATGGCAGCACACTAAAAGTTTGTTTGATGGACTTATATGAATGTCACTGCTTTAAAACATCTGCATCAGGAAGTCATGGAGCCCCCCAGTGGTACCTGCAGTGAATAGATTTTAGTCTTTCCTCTTTCTTCTTTTGCAGTTCTGTCTCAAAATTCTTCCTCTCTTCTTCCTTTTTCATTTTTTTTCTCCTCTTGCCTTATTTTTCCTTCTGACTTTCTTAGCCCACATTCATGCTGCAGGCCTCTGGTGGGTAGGCAGTGCACTTGACTCTGCCCTAAAACCTATTCTGTCCTCCAAAAACAAACATGAACCCAGCTATACTAAAAAAGAGCTGTGTGTCCATGAACAAGTTACTTCCCCTCTATGCCTGTTCCAATACCATGGCATGAAAAAGTTGAGCTAGGTGAACACAGGAATTCTTTTTTTTTTTTTTAGCTGAATAATCTTATAATTCTGGCAGTAACTAAGAGCATTTTACTCCTATAATAAAAAGCAAATGAAAGCTGAGTTCTAGGTCAAAAATATTGGAATACATACCACACACACACACACACACACACACACACACACAGTGTTTCTAAAGTAGTACCCTAAGGTGGTTTGCTACAAGAATGGCTTATACCAGTGCCATTATTATATTAAGGTAAGACTCTGGCTGGGCTACATGAATTAGATTTCTTCAGGGATACGCTAAAAGTAGAAATTTTTGAAGCCCTTCTATTTGAAAGAATATTGTAATCCAATATTTTCCAAAAGCATAGTTGTTATATAGGCAATTCTAAGATGATTCCCATTGACCCATATTCCTAGTGTTCATGCCTGTGTGAAATCCCTTCTACTTAAGTATGGTATTCCTCACTTTCTATCACTATAACAAATACCTGAGATAATCAACTTAAAAAGAGAAAAGGTTTATTTTGGCTCACAGTTTCAGAGGATCCAGTTCATGACTGGTTGGTGGCATCATTGCTTTAAGATTTAGGATGAGTCAGCACATCATGGCTGGTGTGCATGGTGGAGTAAAACCACTCATCTGATGACCAGGGAGCAAGATAGAAATAGAATCTGGGGTCCCACAATCCCTTTAAGAACACATCCCAAACAATGTAAAGACCTCCCACTAGGCCCACTCTGAAGGGTTCTACCATCTCCCAATAGCACCAAGCTGGAGAGAACCCTTTAAAACAAGGGCCTTTGGAGGACATTCTAGATCCAAATTATAGCAAGTATGGCCTAGACCTGGTAATTCACTTCCGAAAAATAGAATTGGCCAAAGTAGTGGAATGTTACTCTTGATATTATGTTTAAAAAGATTCTGACCTCTCTCTTACTCTTTTGCTTGCTTGCTTAGAGGGAAGCCAACTACCCTGTTGTGAGCTGCTCTATAGAGAGAGACTCACATAGCAATAACTGAGGGAAGCCTCTGTCCAGCAGCCTATAAGGAACTGAAATGCTTAGTCCAGTAGCCTGAAAGGAGCTGAGTGCTGCTGCAGTCAAATATGAGAGCCTGGAAGTCAGTCATGCCCCAGCCACGCCTTGAGATGACTCCAGCTCAGGTTGACTCCTTGATTGCATCCTCATAGGAATCCCTAAGCCAAAGGATTCAGTGAAGCTGTACTTGGTTTCTGATCGACAGAACCTGAGAGATAAGAAATGTCTTTGGTGTTAAGTTACTAAATTCATCACTAAAACAGTTGCTTAAATGCATTTTAGAATTCTGATTTTGCAGCTGACCAAATAAAATCTATTTCCTGTATAGGAAAGAGGAAAATTATCTACTGTCATTGTCAAGAGATGCAGATTTGGTACTGGATAAAGAACTGTGGGGACAGATGAGACATCATTGTTCAAAGTTAGCCTCAGCAACTCCTGGCTTCACAC